CGCTTACGCATATGCCACTGTGACGTCACCGTGGCGGTCAAATTTTCCTACTGAACTACCCTGTTAGTAAAGGAATCTCGAGTTCAATCACACATAACATTAGACAAGACTTTTAAATACCGAATGAAGCAACACTTACGGCAGCTTCGCTGTACATATCCGGGAATATCTCCTTCATCTCCTCACGAGTCTTCCGGTTTCGGTTGCTCGTGAGGCATATCCGCCGAACCTCGAAGGAATCTTTGAGAACAGATGTCTTGTGAGTGACATCGGCGTGCTTTAGCTTGGCACTGAACTTGGTGGTTTCGGTGCAGATGTCTAGCTTCGACTTCTTCGTTTTGGGAAACATCCCCGGCATCCCCTCTTCAGCTGCCGCACGCTTTTTCACAACGATGCCCCTGGCTCGTCTTTCCGTGTCGATGACGGCGTTGCTCAATGCTCAGTGGCTTTCGACAGTTCTTGAATCTGTTCCGAAGTTTCTGTCGGAAGCTGTTCTTCCGCAGAGTCACCTTTGAGAAAGAAAAGAACCGTTTTTTTTTCTTAATTTCATGGACAGCTTTATCAGGCAGTGAACACTGAACAAGATATGAATACGTTCATTAAACGTGTTTTCTTCTATCGTGATATTGGGAGGATAGAAACAACAAAAAGTAGATGTCCGGATATGACCGTTTTAACAATTTGTTTTGTTTGTTTGTAACAACAATTTGTAAATTTGTTTTGACAATTTGTCTTCCAGAATTTCATCATCGCGGAAATCTTCGTCCGCAAATCTACGTCAACGCATTTCTTGGATTGTATGGTCATGCTACGGATTACTGTTAAGTCATACTAACAAAACACAAAGTATACAGTAATTTCAGCTTACCTTCGAGGACTGGGACGCTTGCTCGGTTCACTGACAGAAGGCCTTGGTTCTGACGACTTGAGCACAATGGCGGTCGCGAATGGTCGCGAACTGAAGAGACGTTCCGAAAATATTATTCTTGGAATAATACTGTGCTGGACGAATAGATTAATCACTTTTAGATCAGTTATGTCACAACGGAATAGGATTATCAAGAAAGTGATACAGTATTGCTTGAAATAGGCTCCCGAATACTCCCGAAGAATAATGTTAGTAATGCTACCACATAATATTACTCCATGGTTATAAAATTATTGTCCGGACATGATAGTTTTATCACGAAGGAAGTAATTTTTACACCTACATGAGAATAGTTTTATTCTGTCGCGTCAATTTATCAGCCGTAATGGAGTATAAAAATTACCCTAATTACTCCACAGCGGTTTATTTTTATGCAGTTTTGATAAAAGCACTCTAGCTGTCAATTTTATTACCATCTAATGGGAGTTCAGCACAAATATATTCCAATGACCTTGTTTATCACTGTGAAATAAGCTAAAACTACCCCATGCCTCTTTGAGACTGATATAAATTTATAACCCGAAAGAATAAAAAGGACACGTGATAAAATTAGAAGATAAAATTACCACTTGCTAAAACACAAAAGAGATGATTATAGTACCAGGTTTAAGAATAACTTTCAAAAACGCCCTTAATGCAATGCAGAGAGTAAGAATACGCTACAAAACATAATCATTATATGCCATTGGTGCGTGATTATTCGCCAAACTGGAGTGGAAAAACTCCAAAAATAACTCTCTAGGTGTAAGTTTTTTTCAGTGCAACTGACTGACAATGCATACAATGTTTTGGTTACACGGCCATCAGTAAATAATTTGGGGCATTTGCGATTACCTAATAACTATATTTACATGAAGTGTTTAATGCATGCTGAATGAGGAAAGTGCATTTATTTAGTAGGTATGTGAATTTGACCTGTAGTTAAATATTCCACATCCCTCCAGATTGTTGTAAATATTGATGTCAGCCACAGCACGCTGTTTTTTCTTCATTTCTTCGCGCAATGGTATCAATGAGTGTTGGCAGCGCGCTGCTTACCAAAGAACTGGGGACGTCCCAGCCCTTACAAGGAATAAGGTGTAAAGTAGACTTCATTAATGCTACTCGAGAGTCCAATGATTGATGTCGAAATAAAAAATGCTAACTTATAAGAAACACATATCAAATGTCATCTAAACCTATAGACCAAACCCACCAAAAGATGATATTTGTTTTTATGCCTAAGTTAGAAAATACGTATGTTATAGAAAATTCACGAGAAAAGGTTTAAGAAGAATAAACAAAACAAAAATCTATCTGCGTATCCTATTCAAACAACAATGTGCTTACTGGCTTTTTTTCACTTATAATCGAAATCTTAATCCTGAAATGACTCTCGCTTTGTCACATGTCCGTGCATTGTGAAAAGTAAACACTGGGAAGAAGTAAAAAATATATTTGCAATACATATCACATGAGTCATGACACATGTGCGACTCACGCTGACTTCAAAACGCACATATTTCATTTATGCGGACATATTTTTTTCTAAAAGTTTTACCCCCACCTAAAATCTTTTGTACCACGTACAAGTCAACATAAGACACAAACGAATAGAAAACAAATATTGCATAACATTTAGCTCAGCTTGCCTTTCAATGATATCCACCGCCATACCCACCCCCATGTCCCCCACCATACCCGCCCCCATGTCCCCCACCATAACCACCATGCCCCCCACCATACCCGCCGTGTCCCCCACCATACCCGCCGTGTCCCCCACCGTACCCGCCTCCATAACCACCGCCATATTTGCTGCCGTGGTGGTCGCCCTTCTCATACTTGTCGCTGTGGTACTTGCCGTGGTTGCCCTTGTACGCGTTGTGGTCGTCATGGCCGTACTTGCCCTTGCTGCCGCCATACTTGTCATAGTCGTGGCCCTTCTTGTAGTAGCCGTCGTGACCCTTCTTATCGTCATAGTGACCCTTCTTGTAGTGTCCGCCGTGGTACTTCTTGCCGTCACTACCACCGTAGTACCCGTGATGCTCGCTGTACTTGTTGTGGTAGCCGTCGTCGTGATAGTTGTCGTAGTACTTTTTGTTGGCCTTGTAATCCTCCTTGTGGTGGACGTTCTTGTAGCCGTTGTTTTTGTGTCCCTTGTCGTAGTAGCCCTTGTTGCCGTACTTGTGGCCCTTGTTGCCGTGGTACTTGTCGTGGTTGTCACCGTAGTAGTTCTGACCGCCCTTGTAGCCGTGGTGGCTGTTGCCGTGGTCGCCGTAGTAGCCCTTCTTGTTGCCGCTGCCGTGCGCGCCGTACTTGTTGCCGTGGTGGCCGTGGCCGGAGTCGTAGTACTTGCCGCCCTTGTAGCCCTTTTTGCCGTAGTGGCCGGCCCCGTGGCCGTGGTCGCTGTGGTACTTGCTGCCGTACTTGTCGTTGTACTTGTCGTCGTAGCCGGTGGCCGCTGGGGTCAGGTCAAAGGTCACGCCCTGTCCATGGTCGTCCGGTGACCTGCGGGTCCGAGCCGGTGTCAGTGGGTGGACGGGACGCTGGTGACTGTCCCCTCGTGGCCTGTCATCTGACAGTGAGCCCTGGACGGTCCCCTGACCGGCGCTGGCTGCTCCGTACAGCTGTGAGGAGCCGACCCCGCAGACGGCCAGCAGCGTGGCCGCGGCGGCGGTCAGCAGGGCGACCCGGGTCAGCGCCATGGGGCCGGGGGCACCGCTGTGAGGATATCACAGTTCACACTGCTCTCCTGGCCGGACACTGCTGTTCTATGCTTCCCGGACAAAGGGAAGCACAGTTCACACTGCACTCCTGGCTGGACACTGCAGCCACTGTCCAGTGGACACGAATGGTGCCTGCTGTCGGGCACGGCCTGCTTTTGTAGCGGTCACTCGACTCTGGGTAACCCGTCCACGATCTATCAGTGGCCGGCCGAAAACCGTGCGCTTACCGAACTCCGCGGAAAATCGGCCGGCGTGACCGTATGTGGCTCTGGGGCCGACTCACGGTCTCGGTGTCTTTCGTCTTATCCTGCTCGTGTTATCGAGTTTGCTGGGTCAGGTATATATTGTGAAAGGGAGCGGGCCTCAGCATTATTGGCCCGTGCTACTCAGCCTCTGATACCTGCTAACCCAATGAAGATCAGTAGTATAAAGTCAACCAATGAACATTGTTCACAGTTGGATACTCCTTTCCGGTGATTTTATCAATAGCGAACCCTTGTGTTATAAAGTTTACTTCTTCTACATATACTTGGCGAGAGAACTCTTGAGTGCGCGAGTTGGGACATCCGGTAATGACGCTTTTATCAGTAAATGGTAAGCAATATAGTACCAGTGTTTTGCAGCACATAGATGGATCAACGTATCTGTGAACTGATGACTTTCTGTAAATTATTTCCTATGCTATTCTAAAAGAATGCAAGAATTTCGATTAAACGCAATAAAAACATCCCTCAAACGATATAAGCTACTCCGTTTGAGCATCGTTGAAAATATAGGTAGGTATGCCTATGGAAATGGGCTAAAGGAAATACTAATGAAAAACGTGGTTCCGTCGGTTTGGCACGGCGCAGCTTCCAATGTTGTTCATGATACGTTGCGAAAATGCAGTGCAATTGGATTGTATTACATTCAAGTGTAGTGTGCGTTGTAAGAAAACCTTTTTATTTGAGTTTATAGACGATATTTTGCGCACACACATGTTTCTGCACATGTGTTCTCCCTATCCTTTAAGCAAAAGGTGTGAGTGGGGTTCAATCCCTAATAATAAAAAATTCTGGTCGTTCTAACGAATTTGTGAATAATCCCACGCGTGTAAATTTCGATTCACGATCGCTCCTCGTGCACGTCTTTCGCCATGGCTCATGGATTTCAGGCGGCAAGTTTCAGCGCAACGCCACTGACCTGGCAGTTTGACCGGCAGTCGACGGCTCTATCGTGCGGCCGGGTTACCCAGAGTCGAGTGGCCGCTACAAAAGCAGGCCGTGCCCGACACCAGTCACCATTCGTGTCCATTGGACAGTGGCTGTAGTGTTCGGTCAGGAGAGCAGTGTGAACTGTGATATCCTCACAGCGGTGCCCCCGGCCCCATGGCGCTGACCCGGGTCGCCCTGCTGACCGCCGCCGCGGCCACCCTGCTGGCCGTCTGCGGGGCCGGCTCCTCACAGCTGTACGGAGCGGCCAGCCCCGGTCAGGGGACCGTCCAGGGCTCACTGTCAGATGACAGGCCACGAGGGGACAGTCACCAGCGTCCCGTCCACCCGCTGGCACCGGCACGGACCCGGAGGTCACCGGGCGACCATGCACGGGGCGTGACCTTTGACCTGATCCCGGCGGCCACCGGCTACAACGACAAATACAACGACAAGTACGGCAGCAAGTACCACAGCGACCACAGCCACGGGGCCGGCCACTACGGCAAAAAGGGCTACAAGGGCGGCAAGTACTACGACTCCGGCCACGGCCACCACGGCAACAAGTACGGCGCTCACGGCAGCGGCAACAAGAAGGGCTACTACGGCAACCACGGCAACAGCCACCACGGCTACAAGGGCGGTCAGAATTACTACGGAGACAACCACGACAAGTACCACGGCAACAAGGGCCACAAGTACGGCAACAAGGGCTACTACGACAAGGGACACAAAAACAACGGCTACAAGAACGTGCACCACAAGGAGGATTACAAGGCTAACAAAAAGTTCTATGACAACTATCACGACGACGGCTACCACAACAAGTACAGCGACCACCATGGATACTACGGTGGTAGTGACGGAAAGAAGTACCACGGCGGACACTATAAGAAGGGTCACTACGACGATAAGAAGGGTCACGACGGTTACTACAAGAAGGGCCACGACTATGACAAGTACGGCGGCAACAAGGGCAAGTACGGCCATGACGACCACAACGCGTACAAGGGCAACCACGGCAAGTACCACAGCGACAAGTACAATAAGGGCGACCACCACGGCAGCAAATACGGCGGCGGGTATGGAAGCGGGTATGGTGGGGGAAATGGAGGCGGGTATGGTGGGGGACATGGGGGCGGGTATGGTGGGGGACATGGGGGTGGGTATGGTGGTGGCTATCACTGATCAGATGTGTTAACTATGAAGCATTTGTGCAATTCATGATGTCCCTTTACGCATCCGGATTTACTTTGCAGCTTGACTGCGTTCGCACTGTTGTTAAGCATGTGTTATTTACCTTTTCGTATGCTTCTTGTTATCATGCATTGTGCTTCAATCTGTAACCTGTTGGATAATGACGGTCTGCTTTCCTCCAGCAGGCCAGAACTTCAATACACATTATAACAATGATGTTTTCTTGAAAGGAATGATTATCTCTGGATACTTCTCGAATTAGAACTTTCCGGGTTTCATTGCTGATCTCTAATAGTCGGAGGAAAATCGATATCCGGGAGCGAAACAGTCCGGCGGAGATCATATAACCTCACATCATAACAATACTAAAATTATGCTTCATCACCACCCTACTCCATTCGCATTCCATCCCCACTCCATCGCTACTTCATCACCACTCTATGTCTTCTCCATTCCCATTTTATTCCCGCTGGATCTCTGCCTAAATGCGGCACCTCTGCAGATGGCGACTTGTTCTCCTTGGATGTGACATGGCGTGACATTCGAGACTGACAGAAGTGTGGCCGTGTGAAATTCAGTGAAAACTGGAGGCTTTTCCGGCATTCGCGCCCCTGTAGCAATGCTGGCTGAACAAATTTGCTGGTTTCTCTCGATGGAGAATAAACACGCACAGCGTGAGCTGTCACGCCATGCAAGACATGACTTATGAACGGAGAGTAGCAGAAACGCATGTCGAGAGAACCGGACGTTTAACTTATAAGTAGAAGACAAGAATAGGATACCGGTTTTTCATCAATGACTTAAAGCCTAAGTCATAAAAAATATTTATTAACCCGCGCCCCGTTGGGGGAGGGCCGAAACGGCCCTCTTCTCCTTTTCAGTCGATATGTTCCAAAGTATAGCAGATATCGTCACAGAACTTTCAGGAGCCCTCTGAGCATCATTTTTACACCTTGTGACCAAACACAAATTCCAGAGCCCATGATAGGTTGACCGCAAATGACGTCAGAAAGACGTCATATTCTGCCATTTTTGACCCAAAAAATATTTGGCGCGAAGAAGTATCACGCCTACAGTTTTGGAGATAGAAAAAAAACTTTGAAATAAAAAGGTGTAAAATTGTTGGCTAGTTACAAAATGTCTCGGATTTTTATATTTTTCAGTTGTTGACTCCCAAAACCTAAAAAGTGACTTTTTTTGTATAATAGGGTAAGGGCGGGTAAGAGTACGCGGGCGATAAGAGTACGCATCAGCTGTTTCGGTTGCTTAGCAACGCGGGTTTGTCGAGTTCATGAAGTGACATGAAGCCGCCAGTGCGTGCATGTCACCAACGGAACGTGGGCGTTGAGCGGCGACGCTGTTGAGTTTAAGGCGATGAATATTATTTTCGAGCGTTATGATATTATTATGATATGGTACAATAATTTTGATACTTGGCAGTTGAGATAAGGTACATTTCCGTGATTGCTGTGGGAAACTTGTGAGGTTATCTGGGGAAATACTGTACAGTGCAATATTCTGTTTGCGAAGTTTTGCACAACGTTTCGGGGTTGTTTTGTGTGCGAATTGCATGTACGGTAAGAGGACGCACTGTTCAGGAGGGTAAGAGTACGCAGAATTATACATTAAATGTATAATTCTATATTAAATAAATGAGAGCAAGAAATCCACTATGTGCGTACTCTTATACGACTTCACCCTACCCCTGAAATACCAAAAATATTTTGCTATTAACATTCAAAATTTGAGCTCGACGCTCCATTTTTTGCAAACTTATAGCGAAAAACTACTCCAAATTTCTAATTTGAATTTTTAAACTCAATATTTAGCCGTTATAGACCACGCAGATTAAAACGAAGATCACCATCGGATTCCCCGTGACGAGCTGCATCGAACTGATACCCATTTTTTTTTTGCAAAAATATCAAGTTTGAAATTTGACCTAATTTGACCTGACCTTAACCTGACCTTGACCAGAAGAGAACATAACCTAAACTGAGCCCAAAGGCTGCCTGACCCACATAATTGCATTTGTGATGTAAAATGGACCATAAAACATGCATCACATGATATTTTCATATTTTGACCCTCAGTGACCTGACCTCTGTGACCTGACCTGGTATTAGTGGCATCAAATAGCAAAATATGTGTTTTATAAACAATGCCCCATCAATGATTTTCAATGACATGCATTTTACTTGATTTTGCAAAGCATTTCTTGAAATGCCTGTAAACGGTGAAAATTCGACATTTGACCTGACCTGTGGGCTGTGACGTCATTGGTTCAACCGAGGCCGATGAAATTGGGTAACAAGGTAGTTCCCTGTTGGGGCTATCCAATGCCGTTTGCCGCTTGTCTCTATGTTGCGTGGTTCTCGAGAGTCGAGATCTGGGGGGGGGGCAAAATGTCCCCCATCAGTCACCGCGTTGCTTGGCAGACCCCATCAGAAAGGTGGATCAGAAAGATTTTTTATCTTGAATGGTTTTTAGCACAGTTTTGAGAGACATTATGAATATAATAAGAGTATATATAATATGAATAATAATAAGAATATAATATGAATATAATAACCTTACTCTCATATTAGCCAAAAGATATAAAATTTCAAAAAGACAAAATACAGTTTCGGGAGCTTTCGGCTTTGCGCCTTTGTCAATGTGATAAAGGCGCAAAGCCGAAAGCTCCCGAAACTGTATTTTGTCTTTTTGAAATTTTATATCTTTTGGCTAATATGAGAGAAAGATTTTTTTAATTTCATACCTAAATATCATGCATAAGGCTGCTGTTGATTATCCATGACATGTTGGACAATGATATAAAAACCAACCAATTAGTACAAATAGCATACGTTGAACACATTTTGTTTGTACTTATTTGTTCATTACACTGAGAAAAAAATTGACTCCATATGGGTCAAAACTCTTGAAAATGCTCCCCTGAAAACTCCTTAAAACCATTGATAACTCCCTTTCCAGCAGAGTTATCGAGTGTGTTCTAGGGTAACTTCGAGCCTTCCTCATTTTGCGAAAGAGTTTTCAAGAGTTCTTAATGGATGGCGAAATGACTCCATGTGTGACACCTCATAACTCTGTGACGCAACTCTACATTACTCCCGAAAAACCTTTCCCGAACGTTCCGACGGGAGTAAAAGGGGAGTTACGAAGGGGTTTTAGCATACGTCGCGAGGCTGCCGCGGTGACCGCCATCTTTTGCGCTTAGTACACAGCACGTTGTGCGGCGCGGCGGGCGAGGCGCTAGTGAAGAGCGTGTTGACTTAGACGGACCTGACCTATACAGTGACGGATAATTGGACCTTACTTTGGATTTAAAGGTAAGCTTAGCTGTATTTCTCATCATGCTTTTATAGTGCAAAGTGTTATAATGCTGTGATGAGAACATATGGTAACCCCATGTTCTTGATGGATTTCTTCCTTCCATCTTTCCTCGCTTCCTTCCTCACTCCCTCTTTCCCTCCCCTCTCTCTCCCTTTCTTTCTTCCTTTTTTCCTTCCTTCCTTCCTTCATCCGTCCCTTTCTCCTTCATTATTTCCCTCCTTCTCTTTTTTCTTTCTCCTCCATTCCTCCCACGCAATGTTAAGTGTACCTATAATTTCATGGTCATTAACATTTTGCAGGGGATGAGCTGGAGAGCCTGCAATCCCGCAAGACACGTCGGAAGCCAACGGAGGCCATCAAAATATCCATCCCACCATCGTGAAAGGAGAGCCGGACGAAGAAGACGCAGTATTCGTCGAGGCCCAGGAGGTGGTAGGGTAGCGGCACCACCAGACCAAGCATTCCCGCTGTGGTAGGCCGCCTTTTGGATTCTTAACATCAAAACTCGCGACCGTGAAGCATATGGAGTGAGGTCCCCGGAGAGCGTGCCGCGGCGGGATGTCGAAAGCGTTTGTTAGTTTTTTTTAAGCCTCCCACCTATTACTATGAATACACATTTCTTGAAATATATTTTTTATCTGTACTTCGGTACACGAGCTTTGGGTGGTTACGCTATTCGTGACTTCGTCCAATATTTATTTTCGGGGGGGGGGGAGGGGCTGGAGTGGAGTGATGGGAAGTTTGGGTGGGTTTGATGGGGAGTAACAAGAAGTATACCATGAAGCTGTAAACGGAGTTTTGGGGAATAATGGAATGGAGTAATCGGGAGTAATTATGAGGCAGTAGGAGAGTCATTGAGAGTAATGGAAGGGAGTTTCAGGGAGTATGTTGTTTGTTTTGATAGGGTAAGGGAGAGTAATGGAGAGTTTTCTAAAACGGTAGGGAGAGTTACAGAGAGTTTCTCGAGGGAAGTTTTGGGGTGTAATGGAGAGTTTTGGAGGGGGTGTAATGAGGAGTACCACCTGGGAGTTTTGGGGTGTCGTTTTGGTGAACTCCCCCTGGGGGTGTCATGCGGAGTCAGGATTTTTCTCAGTGTATATACTTCTTCATAGAAGCCAATATACCTCATAACAAAATACATTATCATGACATATAGACCCGCCTGATGAGACGGTAACCGCTAAAACCGGTGGTAATATCACGAGTAGAAGAACCAAATTAAAAAGTGTCGATCGTTTGTCATTCAAAAGTCATCTTCTGTGTTGTTACGGAACAGGAGCCGGATATTAATCGAGGTGCCCCATGAGCTCTGAGATTGTATGCGCAGGTGGCGAAGGACCTGCCTACTGTTCGTTGACAGAGTTGATGGATAACACCGGTAAACAATGAAACATTGGTGGACGGGTACTAGCTCGGTGAGTGTGAAAAAAGTGAAGAAAGGCAAATGCATAGAGGAGAGAGGGGGAGAGAGGGGAGAGAGAGAGAGAGAGAGAGAGAGAGAAAAAAAGAGAGAAAGAGAGAGAGAGAGAGAGATCGCAGCCAGCATGAGATTAAATGACAAACCATTTACAAACAGCAGATGTGGGACGCCTTTTATAGTCCCTGGTCAGGTGAGCGGGCCCGCTGAGTGTGTCTGGTGCTCGTCATCGCTGTTTTCATCTCGTCACGGCTGAGTGCACGGCCACTTGTGCGTGTGCGACGACGAGAATAATTGAAGAGAAACCGCCAAGTGCCCGTGTCAGAGGGATCCACTTACATGGCAAACTACGCACATGTCACCATATAACATAGTTACAGCGCCAAAAATATCAAAAATCATGCACCTGTGATTTCCCAAGGAAAATTTCAACCCTCGGCCTTATTGGTATGTTTTCACAGCTGCTAACTTGTAGGGGAGATTTGATCGGACCCGTAACTGTTTGGCCCTTGATCTAGCCAGAGCTTCGCGAAAAATGAACGTGTTTCCGCGAGAAGCGGAGACCCATGATAGTTGATACCCAATTTTGAGGTCTAAAGTCATTGGTTGACCTTCCAGGTCAGGCCACACTGAAAAAAATTTTTACTCACTTTTCTGAGTAATGACTGAGTTGCCATTTTGTCCAATGGTAAAACTCACTCTAAATCCGCGTACTCAGGTAAAACTCAGGGCGGAACGCAGGTAAAACTCGGGCAAAACTCATTGCAAGTGAGTAGCATGTGAGTA